TCCCACACAGCAGGGTGTCCCCGTGTCCCCACGCACCAGGGTGTCCCCATGTCCCCGTGCTGTCCCCGTGTCCCCACGCACCAGGGTGGCCCCATGTCCCCGTGCTGTCCCCGTGTCCCCACGCACAGGGTGGCCCTGTGTCCCCGTGTCCCCACGCACCAGGGTGGCCCCATGTCCCCATGCAGTCCCCGTGTCCCCATGTCCCCGTGCTGTCCCCGTGTCCCCGTGCTGTCCCCGTGTCCCCGTGCTGTCCCCGTGTCCCCACGCACCAGGGTGTCCCCATGTCCCCGTGCTGTCCCCGTGTCCCCACGCACAGGGTGGCCCCGTGTCCCCGTGCTGTCCCCACGCACCAGGGTGGCCCCGTGTCCCCGTGCTGTCCCCACGCACCAGGGTGGCCCCGTGTCCCCGTGCTGTCCCCACGCACCAGGGTGGCCCCGTGTCCCCGTGCTGTCCCCACGCACCAGGGTGGCCCCGTGTCCCCGTGCTGTCCCCACGCACCAGGGTGGCCCCGTGTCCCCACGCACCAGGGTGGCCCCGTGTCCCCGCGGCACGTCCAGCGGCGCTCCGTGGCGGATCAGCTGCCGGATCTCGCGCAGCATGGCGCGCTCTGTGGCCACCCGCGCCTCCTCGATGCGCTCCTGGGTGATCCCTGACCGGGGGGACGGCGGTCACAGGGTGACACCGGCCGTGCCACCCCCCCGGTGGCACCGAGCCCTCACCTTGCTGCGCCATGGCGCTCTCCAGGCAGTCCAGGGTGGCCTCGTCCTCGCACAGGTCGTAGGGCATGTTCCCGTCCGAGTTCACCGCCAGCAGGTCGGCGCCGCTGCGGGGACAGCGCCGCGTCACCACGGGTGGTGGCACCGAGGTGGCACCGAGGTGGTGGCACAGGAAAATGGGAGGGTTTAGGGGGAAAGGGGTTTGGGGGGGTAGGTGGCAGCGGGATTGGCTTTGGTGGCACCATGGCCATGGCGACCCTCCCTCCCCCAGTGACCCCAGTGCCACCCTGCCCCTCCCAGTGTCACCCAGTGACCCCCAGTGTCACCCTGCCCCTCCCAGTGTCACCCAGTGACCCCAGTGCCACCCTGCCCCTCCCAGTGCCACCCTGCCCCTCCCAGTGTCACCCAGTGACCCCCAGTGTCACCCTGATCCCCTCCCAGTGACCCCCAGTGCCACCCTGCCCCTCCCAGTGTCACTATGGCCATGGGGACCCTCACCCAGTGACCCCAGTGCCACCCTGCCCCTCCCAGTGCCACCCTGCCCCTCCCAGTGTCACCCAGTGTCCCCCAGTGCCACCCTGACTCTTCCAGTGTCACCCTGCCCCTCCCAGTGTCACCCAGTGACCCCAGTGTCACCCTGCCCCTCCCAGTGTCACCCAGTGACCGCGGTGCCCCCCTCGGTGTCCCCTCGGTGTCCCCGTGGTACCGCTGGAGCAGCAGCTGCACGAGGCGCAGGTGGCCGCAGGTGGCGGCGGCGTGCAGCGGCGTCCAGAGCTCCGCGTCCCGCGCGTCCACCGCCGCGCCCGCCTCCAGCAGCAGCCGCGCCAGCGGGAGCGAGTCGTCGATGCAGCTCTGGGAATGGCGGGAATGGCGGGAATGGTGGGAATGGGATTGGGAATGGGAGTGGTGGGAATGGGATTGGGAATGGGATCGGTAATGGAAATAATGGGAATGGGAATAATGGGATTTCATGGTCCAGCAGCAGCCGCGCCAGCGGGAGCGAGTCGTCGATGCAGCTCTGGGAATGGCGGGAATGGTGGGAATGGTGGGAATGGGATTGGGAATGGCAATAATGGGATTGGGATTTCATGGTCCAGCAGCAGCCGCGCCAGCGGGAGCGAGTCGTCGACGCAGCTCTGGGAATGGTGGGAATGGGAATGGTGGGAATGGTGGGAATAGGATCGGGAATGGGATCAGGAATGGAAATAATGGGAATGGGAATAATGGGAATAATGGGAATAATGGGATTGGGATTTCATGGTCCAGCAGCAGCAGCACCAGCGGGAGGGAGTTGTCAATGCAGCTCTGGGAATGGTGGGATCGGGAATGGTGGGAATGGTGGGAATGATGGGACTGGGAATGATGGGAATCATGGGAATAATGGGAATAATGAGATTGGGATTTCATGGTCCAGCAGCAGCAGCACCAGCGGGAGGGAGTTGTCAATGCAGCTCTGGGAATGGTAAGGGGATTTGGAATGGTGGGAATGGTGGGATTGGGAATGGGAGTGGTGGGAATGGGATCGGGAATTATGGGATTGGGAATGGAAATAATGGGAATGGGAATAATGGGATTGGGATTTCATGGTCCAGCAGCAGCTGCACCAGTGGGACACAGTCGTCGATGCAGCTCTGGGAATGGTGGGAATGGAAATAATGGGAATGGGAATAATGGCATTTCATGGTCCAGCAGCAGCCGTGCCAGAGGGAGCGAGTCATCGATGCAGCTCTGGGAATGATGGTGAGGGGATTGGGATTGGGAATGATGGGAATGGGATTGGGAATGGTGGAATTATGGGATTGGGATTGGGAATAATGGGATTGGGATTTCATGGTCCAGCAGCAGCCGTGCCAGAGGGAGGGAGTCGTCGATGCAGCTCTGGGAATGGTGGGAATGGTGCGAATGGGAATGGGAATGGAAATCGGAATAATGGGATTGAGATGGGAATGGGAATAATGGGAATGATGGGAATGGGAATAATGGGATTTCATGGTCCAGGAGCAGCCGGACCAGTGGAACAGAGCTGTCAGTGCAGCTCTGGGAATGGTGGGAATGGGATTGGGAATGGGATTGGGAACGGGATTGGTGGGAATGGAATGGGAATGGTGGGATTGGGAATGGGATTGGGAATGGGAACAGCGGGATTGGGAACGGGAACGGGGTGGGATTGATGGTGCAGGGCTGTTGGAGGTTAATGGGATGGGAAGGGTGTGGGAAATGGGATCCCGGGATTTGGGATCAGCGGGAGGAGAGGGGAAGGGAGAATCTGGAACGGGGACGGAAAAGATTTGGCGTTACTGGGATAAGGAAGGATTCGGGATCACCAGGAACGGGATACGGAAAAGAGGCGGATTGGGAAATCTGGGTGAGGATCAGCAGTTGATGGGATGGGAAGGGCTGGATTTGGGATCACCAGGATCTGGGATGGGAAGGGCCTGGATTTGGGATCACTGGGATTTGGGATCACTGGCATTTGGGATGGGAAGGGCCTGGATTTGGGATCACTGGGATTTGGGATCACTGGGATTTGGGATGGGAAGG